CATTATATTATTATATTCTTGTATAATAAGACCTCCACATTTAACATTGGTTATTTACTTTGTTATTGCGTTGCAGCAGAAATGACCATTTCAAAAAATGATCTAGTGTCACTATCATTGTGTGAAATTGCAGCTAAAATTGGTTAGCCAGCATACAGCAGTCATTCTTGGTTTCCAACAGTCTCCCTTTTTCCTCCTGGTCTCATTTACTGCATCCTTCCCCTCCCCCTCTCCAGCTGCACCACTCTGCTGCAGAGACAGAAACAGACAGAGAGAAAGGGAGAGGAGGATTGCTCAGTATTGGACATTTTGTCCTCTCTATTAAAAGAAAGTATACACCGAACAATGTCATTTCATCCTCGTTCATGACAAGAACAACTACATCATACGTATCACTTATCAGGCATTCACCATGAGGCGTCACAAACACACATTTTGTTTGCACAACATATTATCAATGTACAAATGTCTGTGATCATTATTTCTCTTTCTTCCTCTGCCTTCTTTATTGTCAATGTTTATTTCTGTAGCTCTTTTTTGCCACCATTGCCAACTCACAGGATGCAGGGTGAGATGGGAGGAAAGGAGGTGGGATGTGTTGCCATAGCAACAAGCTGACTCACGGGCAGGGTCGTACCATTTCCCATTAAGCCACAGGGGATCAGCAGCAGATACAGCCTTGAAGCCGTGATGGCTCACAGCATGTGTTGATGGTTGGAGGACACGAGACACCCCTGTTTTGGGCAATAAGGTGCATCATCCTCAGACTTGGGTTGAGGATTGATAAAGAAACGGGAGGGGAAGAGGGTGAACATGGCTGCTCTGGATATTTGTTCTGATGGATGCTTCCCTATTAGTTTTGCCTTCCCCTGTTTCAAAAGCCCCAATGTATATTGACTAATATATGGGCTTAAAATACCCCTTTCTTGTTAAATTCACTCCTTTTGAATGAAAAAAAATGACTGCTTTTTTTTTGTCGTTCATTTCTTTATTCATGTTGATCTGTTTGTTTAGGTTATTACTTCATATTTGCTCCTGAGTATTATTATTATTTCTATTTAAGTTACAGCACACCAGTCAAAGTAAAAACAACACTAGCAGCTTTGCTTTATCTAAGAAGCTTATATGTGCTCTCACAAAGACAATCTCACACACGCACACACACACATCAGCTGTGACAAGCACAGGGTTACAGAGCAAAGAATCTCGTCTCATTAATAATGCATGGATTTATCTCAGGGCATCGCCTTGAGGCCCTCTGCTGTTGCTTTTGGGGTAGTGGCTTTGTGCAGCAGTGCAGTGTTTTTGTTATGATTCACACATTGGTGGTTGTTTCATTATTTTGGTTTAAACTAAAATAGTTTTACTGTATCAAAGGATGTTAATGCTTCTGTGTGAAGGGCAAGTTGGTCGTATATACCAACTTTCTAGACTAGTAATCTAACATATCATAGACTATTCAGCCATCGCTGTTGAATATGGTTCAGAAAGAATGACTGAATATATTTTAGGCAACTAATAGTTATCATCATCCCACACACAACGACAGCAATGCTGAAACAACGTTTATTTATAGATCTATCCTCTCTCTTTCTCTCTGTCTCTCGCCGTTTCTTTTGTTGACACATAAACACACTCTCATTGCAATGTTTATCCTAAGCAAGTTTGATCTTCTACACAATGGTTCATTCTTTACATGAAGATTATATACAAATCCCTGTTCACTTTTGTTAAAACAAATCTCTCAAATTCTCACTGCATTATATGTTAAATGAATGTGTCATTATTTTGTATTTGAATACTTTTTGTTGCAAGATAAGCCACATTATAAATTATTTCAATAGTTTCAACACTTCATTGTAGACATTTTAAAACTTAAAAATAATGTGCACAGACACAGTAGTGTTTTTGTGAGCACTGATGTATTATTCAATCAAAACTCTATGAATCTCCACATGAATCACAACACGCATTTGTTGTGAGCTACATGGTAAGTATGTTTGTTGCTTCCCAAAGCCAAAATGTATATGCTGACTTCCAGTCTAACTGATATGCTTTGTCCCTTGTTTTTCTCTTTCATGCGTCCCTCTTGTTGCCTTGTGCGGTCCCTGTCTCCTTCCCAACTGCTGTTAAATCCTGACTCACCAAATAAGGTAAGAAAAAGTTTTCATATTGAATCTTCATAGCCATCAAACACAAAGTGTTTCAAGCGTTCATGATTCCACAAATAGCACCGATCATTTATACACTGATCATCAAACACTAGATCATCATGCAGTTATTCAAAAAAACTATAGCAAAAGATACTGTGTATTTTACATGTTCAAACATTACACTGGCATTGAGTTAGATAACCAAATTATCCTCAAGCAACATATCTTTTCACCATATCTTTTCACATACCTCGCAAAACGTCTGTCGTCCCTGATGATTGAAAGTGAGTGGCTTTATGAACAAAATATGCTGTGTTTCTTTTCTTACTGGCTTGTCCTTATCCTACCAACCCAATATGAAAACAATACTGTAGTACCTTTAGTGAACAACATGTTCAACTTTTAAACTTTAGCCTATTTTCAATCAGCCTTTTGGCTTTGTACATGCTGTTTTACAGCATGTACAAAGCCAAGGCACTTTGCACTTGAAGAACTAGTTGGACAGCTCTCCCTACTAACAGGCTTATGTTAAGTTTAAGGAAAGTACTGGCAGAGGGACCCAGCTGGTAAAGTATAGTATGCTAAAATGGAGGTTGCAGTGATTATAATGTCAAGCACTGTATTTTGGATTTTACACGCTGTTAAACAAACTATTGGAATACAGTGGGTTAAGAAAATGCAGAACAAATATTCACAAATGTGACACAAACCTGGCATGTTAAGAGGACGTCATGAGTGAACTTATCAGTGGAAATTGTGTGAAAATCAATTAAAGAAAAGAAAGGGGATGTAATGTGTAGTGTTGGTGTTTTGGATTGAAGTATATTGTAAGGCATTCTTCACACCCTCACTTGCCTGTTCCATGGATCATTACGACAGTTAAAATATAAAATTTTGTTTGAAACTGTAATGTAAAGGTTTTGGTTAAACTGCATGATCATCGTGGAGGATGGGTTGTTTCTGCTATTTATTTATTATTGTAGCCCCATTCAAATAAATAGGGTGGACTATAACGAAAAGACAAAATACATAATTCAATAGTATCACAGACTGCAGCCGCAAAAGTGAGTTCAATCAACACCTCTCATAAAACTGAACAAGTCTATTGTATTAAATGGTATTCCTTTTCACCAAGTTGCCTAAACAAGTGGAAATGATTTAATGTGTTATTGAGGTGGAAAAATACTATGAATATACATGTCCTATATAGAGTTGACCAATACCACACACTACAGCTTAACAAATATACAACCGAATTAACACAACAATGACCAACTAAACAGACTTACTATAACATTTCGGCGTTTTGTTTAATATTGCTTAACATCTTACCTAGGTTATTGTTTTTCCAATCATTCAGTGTCATTGAATCTGATGTTTGGGTGATACAATTCTGCTGTTCAATTAAACTGTTCATGTGGAACAATGAATGTATGAAGATGCGGTGGCACTGCCATTCACACGTCACCTCAAAACAAGTTCAAATGTCCTGGCTAGCTTTTTATGATTTTTTATATGTATGGAAAATAAATGAACCAATATCTCAATATCTATTGGTTCATTTATTTCCCATATATATATATAACATTTTTTACCACAATTACTATTATAATGGTTTGAATATATTCAAATACATACTAGCACAACGTATGTTAATTAATGAGAAAATCTGAAAAAGCTAGTCGGTTGTCTTTTGTGTTGGGTTGTTCTTTTCATGCCGCAGTGAAATGAAATTGCTTATTTTAGTTCTCTGGGCGATCACTTCCTATTTATATTCCTCCATACTGAAAAATTAGCATCATAAAAGTAGTAATGAAATTATGATTTGGTTTGTTGGCCCCCTGCTGAGTTCATGGAGGGCCAGCTATGCTGTCTGCCTCTGCAGCAGCATGCAGCAGCTGGCGTTGGCCGCCTGTGTGGCGCTGTCCACACGTGTGGTGCTGAAATCAGCTCAGGCGCTCTCCCCCTCCCTCGCGCTGCTTCTCACACTGCCTCTCTACATCTCCCTCTGTCGCCCACTTCCATTTACAACGGAGGAGTTTTATACAGATGTATGTATGGCTGTCTATTTTTCATATGCATTTGCAAATGGTATTGCGGTTTATTTTAGCATTTGCACCATTCAATTCGTGCGTTTTGAACGCTAATATTTTTTTGCATGTCCGCTTTTAAAGCCTCTAACGCAGAGATATTTCTATGAATATAGTTCATGGTTTAAATAATGATTTGATCGTAAGTGGTGACCAAACAGTTATAAATGACCCATGACCCTACATGGCTAATAGGTCCATTAAATGGAGAGAGAGGGATGGGGGCACCATCTGCACTCCCCCTCTCTTTTCATACGGGTATTTCACGTTGGCCGCTGACAGTATTATTAATCCGCGGCTTGTGGAGAGCTGGGAAGACGCACTGACGTGTACAGACTGCATTTGCTTTCTCTGGCCGCAGGAAGGCAACGAAGAGCCTTGTCAACCACAAAGGCATGTGCGTGCATGCAGTAACATACAGACAAGAGGATATATGTTGGTTTGAAACAAAGCATTTTACGAGTAATCAGAAGCATCAGGCATTAAGAAATGTTTTTAATTGTATATATAGCCGTCTATTATGCACAGCATTTATATAAAAAAAATCATATCATATTTAATATATATATATATATATATATATATATATATATATATATATATATATATATATTAATAATCTCGAGGGTGATTTGGGGGCTTATTATAAATTGTATTTCATATCATAATAACCATGATCATCTTTCTATGAATTGTATTTTTACGTCACTCTTTGATATGCGCTGTATGATGCTACCATTGGTGAAAATAGGTATTCTCTACCGACCAATGAAATTCAGAGCTGTACAAAGAGATCTACTCCCTCTCATCGAGTAGCGTCAGCGTCGTAGCCCTTGCAATGTCTGCACAGGAGAGGAGGAATGCATGTGCAGAAACAAAGCATGACGGTCTCCGTGGAGTCATTTACATTGGATTATAAACATTTCACACTTCACACATCAGTTCAGAAATTGAGATTGGCGTGAGAAGATATGGAACGAGCAATACGGAGGAACAAATTGCCTGCATGGCAGGTGTTTTTGTGGTGGCATCATTTCTTTCTCTTGTGGACTACAATAGACGGACAGACTCGCTACAGTCTCCCGGAGGAACTGAAACAGGGCTCAGTGGTTGGAAATCTAGCCAGAGATATGGGGTTGGTTGTATCTGAACTGTACCGACGTAAATTGCGGATCACCTCCGAAGCTGGTAAGCAGTATTTTAGTGTGGACTTGGGGAAGGGAGAACTAGTGGTGATTAATAGGATAGACAGGGAAGATCTGTGTGGACAAAGACCGTCATGTCTGTTGCCTCTGGAAATAGTCATAGATAACCCCCTACAGCTGCATCGGGTCGAAATTGACATTCAGGATACCAACGACAATTCTCCTAGTTTTCACACTAAAGAGAAAGTATTGCAAATCGCAGAACTGGTAAATCCGGGCGCGCGGTTTCCTTTAGAAAGTGCACAGGATCCCGATGTGGGCTCTAATTCTGTACGGTCTTATCTTATAAGCAAAAATGATCATTTCAAATTGACTGTTAAAACCCACAAGGATGGAAGGAAAATCCCCGAACTGGTGCTTGAAAAGCCTCTTGATCGAGAAACCCAGCCGGTACACAATCTTATCCTCACAGCTGTAGATGGTGGAGATCCGGTGCGCTCGGGCACATGTGAAATTATAGTTATAGTTCTTGACAACAATGATAATGCACCGCAATTTGAAAGGCTGGTATATGAAGCTAATATCAGTGAAAATGCCAGACCTGGGAGTGAAATATTGCACGTTAAAGCAGCAGATGCAGACGACGGACTAAATGGAGAAATCGAATACTACTTTGCAGAGCAAACTGCGGATCTGATTTTATCACTATTTGAGATTGAACCTTCTACTGGAGCTATTATTGTCAAAGGAATTTTAGACCATGAAATTAACCCTGTACATAGATTTGACATAACTGCTAGAGACAAAGGAAACCCCAAAATGGATGGTCACTGTGGCGTAGAAATTAAAATCGCGGACATTAACGACAACATTCCAGAAATAATTGTGACGTCTTTAACAACACCTGTTCCAGAAGACTCCGCAATTGGAACAGTTATTGCACTGTTGAGTGCAAGAGATCCAGATTCGGGGGACAACGGTAAGATTACATTAAGCGTGTCTTCCAAATCCCTCTTCAAGTTAAACCCTTCAGTCTCTAATCACTACTCATTAGTGACGACAGGGCCGCTCGACCGTGAAGAAAATGGCCAATATAGTGTAAAGATACGTGCAACTGATTCTGGAAAGCCCCCATTGTCGAGTGATAAAATAATACTTGTTGAATTGTTGGATGTAAATGACAACCGCCCCGTTTTCTCACAACACTCGTATGTAGTTTATGTAAAAGAGAATCATGCTCCTGGAAAAGTGTTGTGCTCAGTGTCAGCAGCTGATACTGATTTGGGTGAAAACTCAAAGATCTCCTACTCTATATTAGACTCTAAAGTGCAAGGCGTTTCAGTCTCATCGTATGTTTACATCAATTCAGATAACGGCAGCATCTACAGCATGCACTCGTTTGACTATGAGAAACTGAAGGTGCTCCAGATTCAGGTTCAGGCAAAGGATCAGGGCTCTCCGTCTCTCAGCAGCAACGCCACCGTCCATGTTTTTATCCTGGACCAGAACGACAACGCCCCCGCGGTTATTTACCCCTCCTCCGCTGCCCTGGGCTCCCTCTCTCATCAGAGGATGCCCCGCTCCGCTAAAGCGGGTCACCTGGTTACCAAGGTGACGGCCGTGGACGCTGACTCGGGCCACAACGCCTGGATCTCCTACAAACTGGCGGAAGCCACAGACGCCTCTCTGTTCGCTGTCAATATGTACACAGGGGAGGTGAGGACCAAACGCGCCGTGTCCGAGCAGGACGACTCCTCTCAGAGGCTGCTTATAGAGATCAAGGACGACGGAGAACCGGTCCAGTCCGCCACCGCTACGGTGTCCATCCTGCTGGAGGACGGCCTACATGAGCCCATATTAGACCTCCGACATAAACTGCACGAGCCCAGCAAGAAAACTGGGAGAATAACTCTTTATTTGATTCTCTCTCTGGCCTCGGTGTCCGTGCTGTCTCTGCTGACTTTTCTCATCTTAGCGGTTAAATGCGTGAGGAACAGCAGAAGCAGCGGTAGTTGCTGCATGGGAAGGACTGACTGTGATGATTACAAGAACCCCAACAGAAACCTGCAGATTCAGCTCAACACTGATGGACCTATAAAGTACGTGGAGGTCCTGGGAGGAGACATGTTGTCTCAGAGTCAGTCCTTCAGGTCCTGCATGTCTCCAATGTCTCCAATGTCAGAGTACAGTGATTTCACTATGATCAAACCCAGTAGCACCACTGACTTTAACGAGGTGATCAGTGTTCTGGATGCGTCTCTACCCGACAGTACCTGGACCTTTGAGAGCCAGCAGGTGAGCAAAACAAATTAATTGATTCAAAATTTATTTTCACTGAGTTGCTAAATAGAATATGTATATAGTTTCTCCATTGGTAAATTAGTGTTATGTCTGCTTTAAATAGTTAAAAGGTCATAGAGGAGTGCCTGCAGAAACTGTTAATAAATATGTTTGAGACATTGTAATTTTTGTCACACAATTATGAATAGTCCAGCACCATGAAGGGGGACAGCGAATGGTAGTTGAATACAACACAGAATATGTGTGCGAATTTTTTGTGATTGGTTGAATTAAGCACTCTGGACCTGTGGAGAATAAATGTGTTAACAACTGATGTTTGATCCTTTTATTTAGTTTGTTTTCACTCTGTTTTTACTGCTAGTAGTGTAATAATGATATTATATTCATATTGTGTATTCGTAGTTTGTGACGTTGCATTAGACTCAAAACAAATTCCATCGGTTAAAGTGATGGGGCACAACGTGAGTAGGTACTGTGGCTTTAAGAGTGATGATTAGTTTCCCTCTCATTGGATGGTGGAAGAAGATGCTGTGCACCAATAGGATTCAGAACTGTACAAAGAGATCGAGTCCCTGCCCCCATGTAGGCTCAGCGCCGTAAACCTTTCAATGCAATGAGCAGAAGGAAAGAGACAGCAATGAGCCCATATTTTATTTTATTTGTATAATTCAGTTTACAGGAATGCGCAGTAATTGTGGGATATCATGTATTGAAAGAAAACCTACCATGATGGATTTCAACTTCATTTTTTTACGACATGCCGATTGGAATTGATATGTTGTAGCGGACCAAGGATGACAAAGACAACGGGATACCGAGACTGGAGATGGCAGGCGCTTTGGTGGCATTATTTCTTCCTCCTGTGGAGTACAATAAACGGACAGACTCGATACAGCATCCCGGAAGAACTGAAACAGGGCTCTGTGGTAGGAAATCTAGCCAAAGATCTGGGTTTGGGACTATCGGAGATATTTGATCGTAAACTGCGAGTCTCTTCTGAGGCGGGTAAGCAGTATTTCAGTGTCGATGCGGGGAAGGGCGAGCTGGTGGTGAATGACAGAATAGACAGAGAGACTCTATGTGAACAAAGCGTCAGCTGTGTGTTACCTCTGCAGGTCGTAATTGACGACCCGTTACAACTGTTTCGCGTTGAGGTAGAAATACTAGACATTAATGATAATGCCCCTAGATTTCCATCAAATTATATCACATTAGAGGTTGCGGAATCTATGGGTTTAGGAGTTCGTTTTCCTTTAGAAGGCGCCATAGACCCGGATGTCGGCAGTAATTCATTGAAGTCATACACTCTCGGTAAAGACGAATGTTTCAATATTAGAGTTAAAGAACTTGCTGGTGGAAGGAAAGTCCCGGAATTGATTTTAGCTAAAAATTTGGATCGAGAAAAAAAGGCTGTTCATAACCTTTTGTTAACAGCTCTAGATGGAGCAAACCCAGTGAAATCGGGGACCGCTCAGCTGTCTATTAGAGTCCTTGACAATAACGATAACGTTCCCGTTTTTGAGAAAACGTTGTATAAAGTATCCATTAGCGAAAATGCTGCGGATGGTGCGTTAATAGTACAAACGAAAGCGACAGACGTGGACGAGGGTCAAAACGGTGAGATAGAATACTCATTTGGAGCGCACACATTAGATACAGTGCTTTCTGTCTTTGATATTGACCATATATCGGGGACAATATTTCTTAAAGGAAAATTAGATTTCGAAAATACTCCAAATTATGAATTAGACATCAGTGCAAAAGATAAAGGCAGTCCGAGGATGGAGGGGCATTGTACTGTCCATGTTGAAGTTTTAGATGTTAACGACAATGCACCAGAAATAATACTCACCTCTCATCCAAAGCCACTGCGAGAAGACTCGCCGAATGGCACCGTTGTAGCGTTGCTCAGTGCCAGAGATCTTGACTCTGGTTTTAATGGAAAAGTAACACTACAGCTCCCCAAAAATTATCCGTTCAGTTTAAAAGCATCATTTTCTAATAATTACGCCCTAGTTACAAGTGGTGTTTTGAATAGAGAAAATATCTCGGAATATAATATTGAGATAACAGCCCTTGACTCAGGTTCTCCTCCTCTATCCAGTAAAAAAATCATACCTGTCAGCATCACTGATGTGAACGATAACCCCCCTAAATTCACTCAGCCCTCCTATAATGTATATTTAAAAGAGAATGGGGTACCAGGCTCTATCCTGTACTCGGTATCAGCATCTGATGTGGACTTTGGTGAAAACGCCAAAATCTCTTACTCTATACTGGACTCCAGAGTGCAGGACGTTTCTGTCTCATCGTATGTTTACATCAATTCAGATAACGGCAGCATCTACAGCATGCACTCGTTTGACTATGAGAAACTGAAGGTGCTCCAGATTCAGGTTCAGGCAAAGGATCAGGGCTCTCCGTCTCTCAGCAGCAACGCCACCGTCCATGTTTTTATCCTGGACCAGAACGACAACGTCCCCGCGGTTATTTACCCCTCCTCCGCTGCCCCGGGCTCCCTCTCTCATCAGAGGATGCCCCGCTCCGCTAAAGCGGGTCACCTGGTTACCAAGGTGACGGCCGTGGACGCTGACTCGGGCCACAACGCCTGGATCTCCTACAAACTGGCGGAAGCCACAGACGCCTCTCTGTTCGCTGTCAATATGTACACAGGGGAGGTGAGGACCAAACGCGCCGTGTCCGAGCAGGACGACTCCTCTCAGAGGCTGCTTATAGAGATCAAGGACGACGGAGAACCGGTCCAGTCCGCCACCGCTACGGTGTCCATCCTGCTGGAGGACGGCCTACATGAGCCCATATTAGACCTCCGACATAAACTGCACGAGCCCAGCAAGAAAACTGGGAGAATAACTCTTTATTTGATTCTCTCTCTGGCCTCGGTGTCCGTGCTGTCTCTGCTGACTTTTCTCATCTTAGCGGTTAAATGCGTGAGGAACAGCAGAAGCAGCGGTAGTTGCTGCATGGGAAGGACTGACTGTGATGATTACAAGAACCCCAACAGAAACCTGCAGATTCAGCTCAACACTGATGGACCTATAAAGTACGTGGAGGTCCTGGGAGGAGACATGTTGTCTCAGAGTCAGTCCTTCAGGTCCTGCATGTCTCCAATGTCTCCAATGTCAGAGTACAGTGATTTCACTATGATCAAACCCAGTAGCACCACTGACTTTAACGAGGTGATCAGTGTTCTGGATGCGTCTCTACCCGACAGCACCTGGACCTTTGAGAGCCAGCAGGTGAGCAAAACAAATTAATTGATTCAAAATTCATATTCTCTGGGAGGTTTTTTAATAAATTACCATATTAATTTCTAAAATTGATTTACATCGTGCTATCTGGCTATTGTCTGAAATTCAGTTTTTTATGGATTAAAATGACATTAAGGCCTGGCTTGATTCATAAGTCTCATTTAATGTGTAAATATATAGTTTTAATGCTTTGTTTTACACGCATCAGAAAAGTGCATATTTAGCACCACCTAAATAACCCAAACAAAATGTTGGAAATATTATTTAAAATACAATCTTAATCTGTCAGACTTTTTTTCTTATTTATTTTTTCATTGCCGAGATTTACTTTTTGATTTATCTTACCTTTGTTTATATTCGTTTCTCGACATTTAATTCAAACAACACAGTTCATACGCCATAGGAATAGCGTGCATCTGATACATTTCACACCCAATACATAGGCCGAGTTTGATGAGCGCCACAAAAGCACTGTTAACTCCCCTTTCTATTGGATGGTAAGGATGGATGCTCTGCACCAATCGCGTACAAAGAGATCCATCCCCTCCCCCAGTTGCAGACTCAGAATTGTAGACTTCAACAATGCAAAGAGCAGGAGGATGTTGGGTGATGCGCTCACACCCCATAAATGAAAAGGAATCGCTAATTTAAACGTCAAACATGAACAAAAATGCTTCACATATTTGTATAGGGATAATTTATATTCGTTGGAACTGGATATTAACGTCGATTTTCTCGATGGGAAGTGGCATATTCTAACGGATCCGGGATGACAAAGACAATGGGATACCGAGACTGGAGATGGCAGGCGCTTTGGTGGCATCATTTCTTTCTCTTGTGGATTACAATAAACGGACAGACTCGTTACAGCATCCCGGAGGAACTGAAACAGGGCTCTGTGGTAGGAAATCTAGCCAAAGATCTGGGTTTGGGACTAACAGACATTTTTGATCGTAATTTGCGAGTCTCCTCGGAAGCTGATAAGCAGTATTTCAGTGTGGATGCAGGGAAGGGCGAGCTGCTGGTGAACGACAGAATAGACAGGGAGGCTTTATGCGGACAAAGAGCCAGCTGTGTGTTGCCCCTACAAGTTGTTCTTGAAAACCCGCTTAGTTTACATCGAATTGAGGTAGAAATAAAAGATATAAACGACAATTCGCCTAGTTTTCATACAAAAGAACTGTCCTTGCAAATCTCTGAAACGGCAGCAGTTGGAACTCGTTTTTCTTTGGAGAGTGCAGAAGATTCTGACGTCGGAAGTAATTCAGTTAAATCCTATATTTTGACTAAAAATGAATGTTTTACATTAAAAATGAAAGAAGTTGAAGATGGTAAAACAGTTCCGGAGTTAGTGTTAGAGAAGCCCCTGGACCGGGAGAAAAAAGCAGTTCATCAGCTGCTACTAACCGCCTTAGACGGGGGAAATCCAGTCATGTCTGGAATATCACAGATTACTGTCTCAGTGCTTGATGTAAACGACAATTTCCCTGCCTTCGATAAGAATATATACAAAATTATGTTGAGGGAAAATAGTGCGAAAGATACATTCGTTACACAAATTGCAGCAACTGATGCTGACGAGGGTTCTAACGCAGAGGTTGAGTTCTCTTTTTCGTCGCGGACACCGGATTCAGTCTTATCAGTATTTGAAATCAATTCATTAACAGGGGAAATATATTTGAAAGGAAACTTGGATTATGAAAAATCGACGTTCTACAAAATTGAAATAACTGCGACGGACAAGGGGGTTCCTCGCATGGAGAGTCACTGTCGCCTGCAGATAGATGTTGTAGATGTAAATGACAACAATCCAGAAATTGTTCTCACATCTGAACCGCAGCCGGTGCGTGAAGACTCACCAAGTGGGACGGTGGTGGCTTTGATCAACGCGCGTGACGCTGATTCCGGTAATAATAGTAAAGTGACTTTGCGACTTCATAGAGGTTCTCCTTTTATTCTGAAACCATCATTCTCTAATAATTATGCACTGGTTACAAGTGGTGTATTAGACCGAGAGAAGTTCTCCGGGTATAATATTGAGATAATAGCCACTGATTCAGGCTCTCCTCCTCTATCCAGTAAGAAGATTATATCTGTCAGCATCACTGATGTGAACGATAACCCGCCTATATTCACTCAGCCCTCGTATAATGTGTATTTAAAAGAGAATGGGGTACCAGGCTCTATCCTGTACTCAGTATCAGCATCTGATGTGGACTTTGGTGAAAACGCCAAAATCTCTTACTCTATACTGGACTCCAGAGTGCAGGACGTTTCTGTCTCATCGTATGTTTACATCAATTCAGATAACGGCAGCATCTACAGCATGCACTCGTTTGACTATGAGAAACTGAAGGTGCTCCAGATTCAGGTTCAGGCAAAGGATCAGGGCTCTCCGTCTCTCAGCAGCAACGCCACCGTCCATGTTTTTATCCTGGACCAGAACGACAACGCCCCCGCGGTTATTTACCCCTCCTCCGCTGCCCTGGGCTCCCTCTCTCATCAGAGGATGCCCCGCTCCGCTAAAGCGGGTCACCTGGTTACCAAGGTGACGGCCGTGGACGCTGACTCGGGCCACAACGCCTGGATCTCCTACAAACTGGCGGAAGCCACAGACGCCTCTCTGTTCGCTGTCAATATGTACACAGGGGAGGTGAGGACCAAACGCGCCGTGTCCGAGCAGGACGACTCCTCTCAGAGGCTGCTTATAGAGATCAAGGACGACGGAGAACCGGTCCAGTCCGCCACCGCTACGGTGTCCATCCTGCTGGAGGACGGCCTACATGAGCCCATATTAGACCTCCGACATAAACTGCACGAGCCCAGCAAGAAAACTGGGAGAATAACTCTTTATTTGATTCTCTCTCTGGCCTCGGTGTCCGTGCTGTCTCTGCTGACTTTTCTCATCTTAGCGGTTAAATGCGTGAGGAACAGCAGAAGCAGCGGTAGTTGCTGCATGGGAAGGACTGACTGTGATGATTACAAGAACCCCAACAGAAACCTGCAGATTCAGCTCAACACTGATGGACCTATAAAGTACGTGGAGGTCCTGGGAGGAGACATGTTGTCTCAGAGTCAGTCCTTCAGGTCCTGCATGTCTCCAATGTCTCCAATGTCAGAGTACAGTGATTTCACAATGATCAAACCCAGTAGCACCACTGACTTTAACGAGGTGATCAGTGTTCTGGATGCGTCTCTACCCGACAGCACCTGGACCTTTGAGAGCCAGCAGGTGAGCAAAACAACCACATAATACTCAAGGAAACAATAATAGTTTTGTTTTAATACTTTTCTACAGAAACTGCTCAATCAAAGCAGAATCTGTTATGATTGTCTACTGTGGAAGCATAACATATCTACATATTTATTGCTGTTGGTTTTTTAAATAGGCTCTTTGTCATTCGTTTAGCGTTTTAGCCTTTTTTTCCCGCATCTCATAATTTTACTACAGTTTCCAAAATACGTTTTTGAATAATGTCAAATGATCCCCCTGTGTGTAAACCAAAGGTGGGTTCAATTTATTCATTCAAAGACGTTCAAATAGGTATTTTGGGGCATCTATCAAGTTGCTTACGTTTGTTCATTTCACAAACAACGAGAGCACCAAATGAACGTGAAATATCCACTCGATCATTTACCGCATATTCGAATTGATTTAGATCCTTATAATTAAATTGACAAACCACCACAACTGTCAAATATGTCTGACTCTTTTACAGTTTTTGTCACACACAATGTATTTCATTTTATTAATTCGTGTGGGAAAGACTGAAAGGTGTTTTTTTATTTACCCTTCAGTTTTTTACACTGTTGTCTCATAATATCTATTCAGTGGTTTTCGTCGTATTCCCCTCATCTAAAAGCTCACAGGTAGAATGTATGCCGCCACTGCAAGAGCCTCGGTCAGATTGCCTGCCATTGGATGGTGGAAAAGTATGACGTGAACCAATGGGATTTATAACTTGTAAAGGGAATCCAGTCCCTGCCCCCACGCAGCCTCTGCGCTGTCATACTTAGAATGCAAAGAGCTCGGGGAGAGACGGCAATGAGGTCGTATTTTCTCAGATGTAATCATCGGTCGTATAGTTCACAGCCATGATGAAACATTGTGGAATTTTTCATTTTGGGGTAACCCATATTCACATGGAGTCCCATCATTTTTATGAACACGATCTCGAGTGGAATTAAGTTGTTATAGCGGACGAAGGATGACAAAGACAATGGGATACCGAGACTGGAGATGGCAGGCGCTTTGGTGGCATTATTTCTTTCTCTTGTGGAGTACAATAAACGGACAGACTCGTTACAGCATCCCGGAGGAACTGAAAAAGGGCTCTGTGGTAGGAAATCTAGCCAAAGATCTTGGCTTGGGATTATCAGACATTTTTGATCGTAAAATGCGCGTCGCCTCTGAGGCGGGTAAGCAGTATTTCAGTGTGGATGCGGGAAAGGGCGAGCTGGTGGTGAATGACAGAATAGACAGAGAGACTATGTGTGGACAAAGCGCCAGCTGTGTTCTACCTCTACAAATAGTTGTTGAAAATCCGTTGCGTTCTCATCGAATTGAAGTGGAGATAAGAGACATAAATGACAATGCGCCTAGTTTCCTTACAAAGGGGGTAGACCTTAAGATACCAGAATCAGTGGCACTGGGAAAACGTTTTCCTTTGGAGAGCGCGGAGGACCCTGACGTTGGAAGCAATTCTTTGAAAACGTACTCACTGAGCAAAAACGAATATTTTTCTCTTAAATTTAAAGACACAAAAAACGGCAAAGCAGTCCCAGAATTGGTTTTAGAAAACCCATTAGACCGAGAAAAGAATGTTGTCCATAATCTGCTGTTGACAGCATTAGACGGAGGAAATCCGGTTAAAACGGGAACATGTAAGATTATTATTACAGTAATTGATAATAACGACAATTTTCCAATATTTAACGAAAATGAGTACAAAGTGTTACTGAAGGAGAACAGTACAAAAGGAACATTTGTAATCAAAGTAAAAGCAACGGATGCCGATGATGGTGTTAATGGCGAAGTTAAATATTATTTTGGGTCTCGCACTCCAGACTTTATCTTATCAACATTTGAAATCAATGAGATAACAGGACAAATCGTATTAAATGGAGCGTTAGATTATGAAATGTATAAATCATACCTTATTGACATAACTGCTAAAGACAAAGGCTTTCCTGAAATGGAGGGTGACTGTCGTCTACAGTTGGACGTGGAAGATATAAATGATAACGCTCCAGAAATTGTTCTAACTTCCAAACCCAGTCCTGTGCGCGAGGATGCACCACGCGGCACAGTAGTGGCTTTGATCAGTGCACGAGACCTTGACTCCGGTGATAACGGTAGAGTGACGTTACAACTTCCCAAGCGGTCGCCTTTCACACTGAAACCATCGTTCTCCGATAATTATGAGTTGGTTACCAGTGGATCTTTAGACCGAGAGAGTTTCTCACAGTATAATATTGAGATAACAGCCACTGATTCAGGTTCTCCTCCTCTATCCAGTAGGAAAAGTATACATGTTAGCGTCACTGATGTAAATGATAACCCCCCTAAATTCACTCAGCCCTCCTATAATGTTTATTTAAAAGAGAATGGGGTACCAGGCTCTATCCTGTACTCAGTATTAGCATCTGATGTGGACATTGGGGAAAACGCCAAAATCTCCTACTCTATACTGGACTCCAAAGTGCAGGACGTTTCTGTCTCATCGTATGTTTACATCAATTCAGATAACGGCAGCATCTACAGCATGCACTCGTTTGACTATGAGAAACTGAAGGTGCTCCAGATTCAGGTTCAGGCAAAGGATCAGGGCTCTCCGTCTCTCAGCAGCAACGCCACCGTCCATGTTTTTATCCTGGACCAGAACGACAACGCCCCCGCGGTTATTTACCCCTCCTCCGCTGCCCTGGGCTCCCTCTCTCATCAGAGGATGCCCCGCTCCGCTAAAGCGGGTCACCTGGTTACCAAGGTGACGGCCGTGGACGCTGACTCGGGCCACAACGCCTGGATCTCCTACAAACTGGCGGAAGCCACAGACGCCTCTCTGTTCGCTGTCAATATGTACACAGGGGAGGTGAGGACCAAACGCGCCGTGTCCGAGCAGGACGACTCCTCTCAGAGGCTGCTTATAGAGATCAAGGACGACGGAGAACCGGTCCAGTCCGCCACCGCTACGGTGTCCATCCTGCTGGAGGACGGCCTACATGAGCCCATATTAGACCTCCGACATAAAATGCCCGAGCCCAGCAAGAAAACTGGGAGAATAACTCTTTATTTGATTCTCTCTCTGGCCTCGGTGTCCGTGCTGTCTCTGCTGACTTTTCTCATCTTAGCGGTTAAATGCGTGAGGAACAGCAGAAGCAGCGGTAGTTGCTGCATGGGAAGGACTGACTGTGATGATTACAAGAACCCCAACAGAAACCTGCAGATTCAGCTCAACACTGATGGACCTATAAAGTACGTGGAGGTCCTGGGAGGAGACATGTTGTCTCAGAGTCAGTCCTTCAGGTCCTGCATGTCTCCAATGTCTCCAATGTCAGAGTACAGTGATTTCACTATGATCAAACCCAGTAGCACCACTGACTTTAACGAGGTGATCAGTGTTCTTGATGCGTCTCTACCCGACAGCACCTGGACCTTTGAGAGCCAGCAGGTGAGCAAAGAGTAAAACACTATTCTACAAATTATCATCACTCAGGTTCATATTTGTATATTTTGTTTGTGAATCTTAGGCATTCTCACATGACAATAATATTCTTGCTGCAACGAAACTTTGTGACTTCATATTTAAATACCTTCATATCCTCCGAAACAGTTCGCAGAATACCACCAAATAAAAATGAAATAATAATTCCTTCAGCAGATCCCATTTTGTAAGATATGTACAGTGTTTCTTTGATTATTTGACTCAAACACCTATGCAAAAAAGTAAGCAAATATAATAATCGGAAACTATTTAAAATGCATTGTCAACTGTATTAAAATATTCGCATGTGTTTAATTCAATTCCATGGATTTCATGTTCAACCCCTGGGAAATAGATCAACTTTTAATATAGAAATGTCAATATTTTTTTAATTCAAAGGATATTTTAACATATTAATATCGAAAATAAGGAGGGACATTGTGTATACGTTTAAAGTGTTCATTGGTATAACCCCATTTACGCAATTGCATTCAGTTTTGAGTTGAATGGCGGTTCTTTGAACAGATTGCTTTTTTTATTTGATTGGATGATGGGTGGGTGATGTTCACCAATAGCATGAGTAGTTGTACAAAGAGATCTACTCCCTCCCCCACCCGTCCGCAGCATTGTCAGTATTGCTTGAGCTCGCGTCGAGAGGAGGATGCGTTTAAACACTTACATTGAATAAAACACCCCCGATCTGCTTTCGTAAAAATGGATTTTTCTGGATTACTGCAAGTGTGTCGTTGATGGATTTTCACATTGACCTCCTCATTCCGAACAATATTTCAATGGGAAATAACGTCGTATTGTGACGGACCGGGGATGACAAAGAGAATGGGATACCGGGACTGGAAATGGTGGGCGCTTTGGTGGAATCATTTATTTCTCTTGTGGAGGACAATTGACGCACAGACTCGTTACAGCATCCCAGAAGAGATGGAACAAGGAGCTGTGGTAGGAAATCTAGCCAAAGATCTCGGTTTGGGACTATCAGTCATTTATGACCGTAAACTGCGTGTTGCCTCCGAGGCTGGTAAGCAGTATTTCAGTGTTGAGGCGGGGAAGGGCGAGCTGGTGGTGAATGACAGGATAGACCGAGAGACTTTATGTGGACAAAGCACCAGCTGCGTACTACCTCTGCAGGTTGTGATGGAGAACCCGCTACAGTTATATCGAATAGAAGTGGAAATAAGAGACGTAAATGACAATTCTCCCAGTTTTCTCAAGAGCGATCACGTAATAGAAATAGCTGAATCCACCGTCGTCGGTGTGCGTTTTCCTTTAGAGAGTGCGGAGGATCCCGATGTTGGCAGTAACGGAATAAAAACGTACACATTGAGCAAAGATGATTGCTTCACCTTAAAGGTTAAGGAAATTGAAAATGGACGTAAAATACCAGAATTACTACTGAATAAGTCATTGGATCGAGAGAAGAAAGCCACTCACAATTTAATTCTTACCGCTATGGACGGGGGAAGTTCGGTAAGGTCCGGAACTTCTAAAATAACTGTTCATGTGCTCGATAATAATGACAATAGGCCGTTATTCGAAAATTCCATCTATAAAGTTTCTGTTCAAGAAAACAG